CTTTGGACAGGTGTACAATGACATATTGAGCAACTTGTTAGACAAGCAAATTTCTCTACATCCACTAACTGCGTCGATTCAAGAATTTGCTTCTGCTGCCAAAGAAGCTAATGAGGAATCAAAGGTAAAAGGAAAGTGCAATGGGTTGTAATGTATTAGCATTATTTATGATTTAAATTTGACATAATTACTATTACTATTATCATGCCTTCTTCTACTTGTCTTCATGTACTGCAGAAACTGAGACTGCAAGAAAACTCAGATCATTTTGTGGATATGAAGATACGAGCATTGAATGATAGACTGATGCTTACGGAAAAAGGTTTCTTGGATGTTGACGGGCTTCGAGGAAGACAATGGTTCAAGCATCTTGTGAGTGTGTTTGCCTTCAATGTGCACTTTAAACTCTTCTTGTGCTAGTTGTATGTTAAAAATTTCATATGATAAATTGCTAATTTGTGTCATTACATTACATTACTGCACAGGTTTTTGGGCCTCCCAGAGACCAAGAAAGCAAGTTGGATTTCTTCCCTGGAATAGCTGACTCTATGTCTGAGATGTTTAAAATGAGTGAAAAAGAAAGGCTGGCAGCAATTCAGCATGAGCTTTGGAGGGTGGCCAGGGCTATTCAAAGAGCTGCTTCAGCACTAAGAGGAGATTTGGCCTAAAACTACTGGAAAAGATGGAATTTATCTTAGTTGAACTGTAAATATCAGTTTCTATTTTGTGCTTCATTTTTACCAGTAAATGTTCAACTGTACATTGAGGTTAAATCACTTGCCTTGTTTGTTTATTGTTTCTTTGATGAGAATTCACTTTTCTAGTCGGCTTATATGAACTCCATTGTTTTTTCTGGTTTGTCTTTCTTTTATGTTTTGTTCACTTGGAGTGATAGAGGAAGATAATTTGGGGAGAGTAATGGAATGAATTTAAAGAGATTTGAAGGTAAATATTTTTGTGTTTACTTAAGTGAATTTAGAAGTAATTAAAAATGAATTTAGAAGTAAAGTTTGTAAGAATTAGTGTAGGATTTGATTAATGTGACAAATAAAAAAATTGTTTAATGAATAGAAATTGAATATTATTAAAATGTCTTTAGTTATTAAAGTAATATAAAATTATAATTGTTAATGTTATATTTAATTATAAAAATGTTTATAAAAAATAAAAAATTAACATTAATTATTTAATATTAAAATTTAAATTTAAGAGCTATTTAATATTATCAAATTGTTTTTAAGTTTTTAATATTATCAAATTATTTAAAGATTAAATTAGAATGTTTCTAAGGTAAAATCTTAATTAGTTTTTAAGATAATATTAAATGATGTTAAATATTTATATATTAGAATTTCAATTTAAGAGGCAATTTAATAATCCATTACAATAGAAGAATAATAATTCTGCATTATTTTTGAAGAATAAAAAAAATATTAAAAAGAAAACAAAGAAAGCTTCTTCTTTGTTCCACACGTCCTTTGAAAAAATAGACTGCT